CATCCTTTTTTGTATCTGGTCCGACATAGGATTAATAAAGCCAATTTACTTTATGGGCATACTGATCCTTCCATCTTAATAAAAGAGACTATTTACGAATCATTCTTTAATTTTGGTCCTGTCCAAGTGGAATGAGTATTGCATATATTCCGCAGCCTATTTTATATTAGACTATAAAATAATAAATAAATAAGCTCATTCATTTTAGGGTTAAATACAAAAACACCCCATGTATTATGGACTTTGTATCATATACCCCCTATACTACACATAAATACAAAAACCCCCCTCACATTACATTTTTTCCAAGATATGACCAAAATACCCCTACTCAAGCAATGTAATGTGAGGGGGGTTTTTGTATTTATGTGTAGTACATGGGTGTTTTTGTATTTAGCCCTTCATTTTATCCTAACCAAAGAATATTTAAAAAAAAGTTGTAAATTTATCAATGAAATTATGAAATAATAATTTTTTTAATAAAAATAACATTCGTTTTAATAGAAAATTCCAAATTGATTTTGCTAGTTTAACCTTGTTTTATTACTTATTACACATTTATATTACACTGTCTGCTAAAATCAAGGCAATTTAGTTATTTAAAATTAGATACACTAATATACTAAAAAAAAAAAATGTGTTTGTTTATTTATTTTATCTCTCAAAGAGAAAAAGGGAAGACGAGATGAAAACGAAAATATCACAATCATGTCAGTTTCAATCAGAGAAGAAAAAAAAAAAGGCAAAGTTTCGATGGTTCCCGGAGCTCATTTTTTGTTGGTACAATACCAGCAAAGCACAGCAGCAGTTGTACCTCGGTGGGCCCCAGTTAGGAGAAATTTATAATGCTTGTTTCAGGCACACAAACCGACAACTGTGGGTCCCACCATCACCAAACTTTTTTCCCACTTTTTTCTGTTTCACCAAAACCCCAAACCAAAGCAAAGGGGGAAACCATTCTTCCTCCCCAAATTTCCCATTAATTGTCCCATCAATATTTACTCCATTTTTTTTTTTAAATTGGAATCGAATTTTCCGATGCTGAGTGATAATCCTCGACCAGGCGGCGCTTTGATTTCCGGTAGGCCGATGTCGATTTTGTCGAGAGAGGAGGAGAATGATGATAATTACATGGTGATTTCATCCGAGGAATCTTCCTCGTATCCTGATTCTGAGTTGGAATTGGGCCTCGCGCTGAGCCTCGGCGGTGGAGGAAAGGGTAAGAGTAAGCCGCCGGCGGCGGCGGCGGAGGCGGCTGCCGGCGGGGTTTATTGGGAACGTTACGCGAGAATTCTGACTGCTGAAGATTTTCGATCGGTGGTTTCTACAAAAGCCCCTTCTTCTTCATCGTCTTCGTCTTCTTCAACTGTTACCAAAGCTAATAATAATAGTACTAATGGCTGTTGTGGCACAAAGAGAACCGCCGAATCACCGACTTCGCCGCCCGGCCGTTCTCCGATCAGGTACTGATTGTGTAGCTGCCAACTGGGGCTTTTCTTTACTAAATTTGGTCAATTTTTGTTTTTGTTTCATGTTTGTGTTACTTGTGTGTTTGTTCTTGTTCTTTGTCGGAATACAATTATGCTGCAAAATTAGATCTTTATTGTTCGTGTGAAATTCCGATTTTGACCGGTTATGTTCACCTGTGTTGTTAATTGTGAATTGGTATGAACCAGTGAAGAAATTGGGGGTTTTAGAAATCTGTGTATATTTCGTTTGTGCCTCTTTTTATTCGTTTATCGAAGTGTCTTACGGCCTATGCAATTTGTCGAAGCAGTCAGGTTGTGGGATGGCCGCCAGTCAGAACTTACAGAATGAACAGCTTAGCGAATGCAAAATCGCCAATCACTGAAGACTTCTTCTCGGCTACCGATAAATGCAAAAGCAACAACGTTATTACATCTTTGGATAATAAGACCAACAATGGCGGGATCGTAACTGATAACAGTACCGCAAATGAAAAAGTATTCGTCAAGAAATCTCTGTTTGTGAAGGTGAACATGGACGGAATCCCGATCGGAAGAAAGGTAGATCTGAATGCTCACAGCTGCTACCAGACTTTAGCTCGTTCGCTCGACGAAATGTTTCGACCAAGTGTATCGCTCCTGGCAAAACGTAGTTTTCTGCCATCTTTTTTATTTTATTTTTTACCTCGTAAAGAATTAACGTTTGCTATCTTTTAGTGCTGAACTGGTTATTCTAAAACACGGGGTTGCTATTTTAGGATCGAGCGTGGAGGAGACTTTGAGGTTGTTGGATGGCTTGTCTGAATTTGTGTTGACCTATGAAGACAAAGATGGAGATTGGATGCTTGTTGGTGATGTTCCTTGGCAGTATGTTCCGTTTTTCTCGTATTTCTTTATTGTGTAATCTATCTAATGACATCATCTAATTAAAAGACGAAACCTTTTAGTCTCATGATTTATTTTGTGTACCAGGTTGTTCCTGATCTCTGTTAGGAGACTCCGAATCATGAAGAAAACCGAGGCTAATGGACTGGGTAAGAAACATGTGATATTGCACATCATAGAACGCACGTGCACCTGATGTATTATTTTTGCTTAAAGGCCCTTCTGTTCCTTCGTATTTACGGTTGCAGGTCCAGGATCTCATGAAAAGAACAGGAGACAGTTAACTGTGCATATATAGAGAGAGTCTTCTCTTCTCACTGAAACAAGCTTCTTCTAGAAGCATGAAGCATGGAAAATAGATACGCGACATACGCTATAGAGGCGACTTATCGGTTTTCATATATTCTCACTAATAACCTTCCGCACATCATATATACTCCGTAGTAGAGGTAAGCATACAGATAGTTGCCATTTGATATACACTGTAAGTATGGGAGTGGCTAGTTGTTCGATTTTTGGTTTTCCTGTACTCGCAAACGGTTAAAGTTTTTATCCATGTGAATGAATGAAGGTATTTTGTCGTTTTTCGGACGAGGCTGTTTTAGTATATGTCGATTGTTCACAATTTCAAGATTATGTACGAACTAGAATTTTTCGACAAGTCAACTTTTTTCTGACTATGTAAACAAGGGAAGAATTACTAAATAAAATATTTAAAACCGAAAAAATAAAATAAAAAATCTTGGCTGGAAAGAAGAATTGCAGTTCTTGTGTACTGACAAAGTCACAGAAGGCCATGCACAGGTGAAGTGGTGAATACTGGTTTATCCTTGCTGGCATTATCATCGTTACCTCCATTGTTGTTAGTACTAGGTTTTCTCCGAGGCTTCGCTTCTCCGAGCATCGTTAGGACATCTCTCATGGAAGGTCTGTCTTTGGGGAGCTTAGCGGTACAAAGAACAGCGAAACGTAGTACCAAGAGCATCTCTTCTTGTACGTGCTTCGTTTTGCCTAAGCTCGGGTCTAAAGCTTCTTCGAGAGGTTCGTTTTTCCTCATTTTCGTCCTTATCCATTCCACTATATCGACAGATTCCCCAAACGCAGGGTCCAATGGCCTCTTCCCTGTAATAAGCTCCATTAAAACCACCCCATAGCTGTAAATATCACTCTTCTCATCTACTTTCATTGTGTACCCATACTCTGTCAAAATATCAAAAAAAAAAAAATTATTAAAACACCAGAAAAAAATATGATTAGTATATATACAAAAGATTATATATTGAGTTCTTGAAATTTTACTCACCAGGAGCTATATATCCATAAGATCCTGCAATAATCGAAACGGTCTCGTTTTTCTCGACCATCGTTTTAGCCAGCCCAAAATCTGCCAGCCTGGCATCGAGATTGGCGTCGAGCAATATGTTGTTCGATTTCACGTCTCGGTGGATGACAGGCGGGTGGCAGTCGTGGTGAAGATAGGACAGCCCCTGCGCCACCCCGAGTGCGACATTGTACCTTGAAACCCAATCAACGAGCAAATTCTCCGCCGCTCGTTTTTCACCGTGCAAAGCCTCTCCTAGGCTGCCGTTCACCATGAACTCGTAAATAATCATTGCATCGGAGTCGTTGTGTAGAAACCCTAAAAGCCTCACAATATTTCTGTGCCTCAGTCTCCCTAGCAAATTCACCTCCCCGGTGAAGATATCGCTGCCCCCTATCTCGAGATCGCTTGTCGATCTCCACAGTTTCTTGACCGCAACTGTCGTGTTGAGCCTCATTATCTCGGCTTTGTATACGGTCCCTGTGGACCCCATTCCTACAACATTTGACTCTTCAATGGAATTAAGGATGTCTTTCGTAGTGAAACCGAGTCGTTGGAAAGCCATCAATCTCCACGGCCACTCACCGTTTCCCGTTTCGAATCTCTCCTCGAAACAGGTCCCGTCTCGCCATTTCTTGTACATGAATCGAGCTCCGAGAACCACTACAACAAGTGCGAACAGACTCGAAACCCCAATTATCCATCCTCCAATTATGTTTTTTTCTCGCACGCCATGTTTTTCCGAAGTGTAGGCAGCGTTGTGCGAGCAGGGGGGCAAAACCCCCCCGCATAGCCCCGCATTGCCTACGAGGTCCTCGGGGTTGATAGTCCTCAGCATGCCATTCGACGGAACGGGGCCCGCTAGCCTGTTGTAAGAAACATCAAGTGTTTCTAAAGCAGGAGAATTTCCGAAATTTTCGGGGATTTCTCCGGTGAGAGAATTGTTCGACAGATCCAAAACCGATAGTGCTGGCATCATTGCAATCGATTTCGGGATGGGCCCGTTTAGAGCGTTGTTTTCGAGGTTTAATGTGACGAGCTTCTCACACGAGGCAACGCCAGCTGGAATAGTTCCGGTGAAGTGGTTCGATGAGAGATCCAGTACTGAAAGCGAAGGGCAATCTTGGAATTGATCCGGGATTTCGCCGGATAAGTTATTACCCGATACTAAAAAGTTTTGAAGATTCGGGATTGAGAAAATCGATGAAGGAAGAGATGATTGAAGGTGGTTTCTTGATAGATCAATGGAGGAGAGAGAAGTGGAAGAAGAGAGGTCATTTGGGATCTGCCCTGTGAGGCTGTTGTTAGCCAATTCCAGCCTTTGAAGCTTTTCGAGTTTGCCGAATCCGATCGGAATTGATCCATTGAGTAGATTGTTCTGCATTCGAACACGAACTAACGGTGCGCATGTCGATAGGCTCGCCGGAATTTGGCCGGAGAAGGCGTTGTCGAACAAGATCAGCTTAGTGAGGCCGCCTTCACTGCACAGAGTCGCCGGAATTTCGCCGGAGAATGAGTTCGATGAGATATCCAGCCATTGGAGCGGCATATTCCGGCCGAGATCGCTCGGCAAAGAACCCGTAAACGTGTTGTTCCAAAGCTCGAGGACTTGTAAATGACTTAATCTCGATATATCAGAAGGAACCGAGCCAGATAAATGATTGCACATTAGATTTAAAAGCTGCAAGTTCTCGAGATTGGATATTTGGGGTGGGATTTCTCCCGACAGCAAGTTATCGGAAAGGTCTAGAAGCTCCAACGAAGACATATTCCCGATCTCCGCCGGAATATTCCCTACGAGATTGTTTTTATACAAGAACAATGTGTTGAGATTCTTGAGTTTACCTAATTCAACTGGAATCGAGCCTCCGAGATTGCCTACAGCCAAATCAAGATACTCGAGATTCGTGAGATTCCCGAATTCCGCCGGAATCCCGCCTTCGAATTCATTGTATCCGAGAACAATAGTCTCTAATGACGATAATTCTCCGAGCTCCGGCGGAATTTCGCCGGAGAGATTATTCCCCGATAAGCCGAGATACTTCAATTTCTTCAAATTCTTGTAGACTATCGGAATTCGGCCTTCGAAGAAGTTTCCTCTAAGATCGAGGCTCTCGAGGAGGGTCGAGTCTCCGAGAGCTTCCGGAAGGAAACCGGATAAGTTATTACCGGAGGCGTTGATAGCTGTCAGTTCCGGCAATGTTTTGAGGGCGAGATCGAATTCTCCGACGAAGAAGTTTTGGCTGAGATCAATGGCGTGGAGTGAGGTGAGATTGGAGAGTGATTTGGGGAGGGGTGATGCGAAGGTGTTACAGCATAAATTGAGAGAATCGAGGTCTTTTAGGAGCTGGATTTCGCCGGAGATCGTTCCGGTGAGATTCATGTGGGAAAGATCGAGACTTTGGACGGTGTTGCCGGAGTTGCATTGGACTCCGATCCAGCTGCAGTGAGGTGAAGTGTTTTCCGATGTGTTTTCCGGCAACTTCCAATCTCCGAGATGATTTAATGGATCGATTAGGCTCGCCTTTATCGATAAAAGAATCGATATTTCGTCGGAGTAACTGAAAACAGAACTGTAGGAGAAGAAGATGAGGAGGAAGAAGAATGTGTCTTTTTTCAACTTCATAGTATTTTTTTTTAATTGTGATTTTTTTTTTCCTTTTTTACTTTTACACCATATTTTTTTGCTGTTGTGAAGCAGCAAGAGCGGTGGCGGGGTGGTGGCGGGGTGGTGGTGGAGAGTGGAGAGTGGCTGTGGAGTTGTGTGAAAAGTGAAGGAGGGAAGATCAAATGATTAGTTAGTTGGTTTCTTGGTAATATATAATATGAATAATTTACATGTGAGTTACTGTTTTTTTTTTTTTTATTTAATATAAAATTATTACAGCAATTCGTGAGATCTTGGGTTCTGTAACAGCTGTTAATATGTAATAAAAATGACTGGATTTTTTTGGATTTTTATGAAATCTAATCCGACACGAAACATGGAGAGAATGTGTTGCCATTGCTGTTACTGTAAGTTTAATTTAATTTAATTAATTAATTAATTAATTTTAATTATTTTGTTATTGAGCAGAACCCTGCTGATAAAAATTCGTCTTTCTAAAATTAATGTATATTTATTAATTTTCTTAATATTTACGTCGAAATATTAAAATAAAATTAATTTAAAACTGTGAAAGAAATGAAAGCTAAAAATGAACTAAAAAAATTAATTATATGATTAAAATATTAGCTAAAAAGATGATTTTACATAGAGTTTAGGTGTTGAAAGATGCTTTAATTTGTGCACTTTTGAGAGGTGTGAAAGGGTAATTAGTGGATATAATTAATTAATTAATTAATATGATACTCAATGATTTGGATCAGCTAATCTGAAGTTAATGAGTTATTCTTCTGATCAAAGGCAGCTTCCAAGAATGACAAACTTCATGTGAGGGCTACTTCATATTTATAAATAAAAAAATAAAACAAATTACAAAGTGGTTAAAAATTAAAATTGTTAATGAGGCTGGTTAATTAGTAATTAATCAACTCTTAATTAAGCACTTAGAGAAAGCGATAAATTGAGTGGAAACAAGAAAGAATCTTCCCATGTTTTTGCCCATGATCTCATTTTCAAAGTTGACTTTATGGTCCTCCTTTTTTCATATTTCTTTATTTATTTATTTATTATTCCAATAAGTAATTATGAGTTGTAAAATGCAAATAAGAGAATAAACTTAAGTAAATGTTTTTTTCTTTAATAACAGAATAAACTTCCAAATATTCACATGCAAACAATTGTTTTTTTATATTTATATATATTTAGGTAAATGTAAATCACATGCAAACATGTGAGGAGGGAGTTTAAATAAGTAGCTAGAGTGGTGTGTCACTGTATGTATCATGTATTTGCTGCTCATGCCATGTGGATCCACACTCTAATCCCTATTATTGGAGAGAGATTAACAAAGTTTTAAAAAAATAAAAATTAAAAAATTAAAAAGTTATTAAATTTATTCATACAAGCATGGGTATATATGTATTTGTCATATAATACAATTTGTTCTTTTAGCAACGAAGGACTGGATAAATCTACATACTCAGTATAATAGTTTGCAATCCATACGAGAGACGTAAACTCCACTAGGTTAATCATGTGTGACAAGCTCGACTTAGCGACCATTGATAATGGAATCCGAACCTGAGTCAATTGATACAGACTCACTTGCGTTACAGTACTGTTAGAAGGTGCGTTTTCAAAATATCGCGTTAAATACCAGATTTGTTTTATATCGCCTTTATTACCAAAAGGGTATTTATGTAACTTTCATCTCATATTAGCAAATAACATAACCATCTTTGTTCAAATTCGGTGATTAGGCCCATATATTTAGACAAAATAGAGCCCGAGCCCATATAAAGCGGGCCCAAAGTTCTAAAGTATTTATTGCCACGTAGGCAAAGATTTCGCGGGCTTCTTTTCATTATCGACCAATCCTATTCGAGAATTTGAATGGCTGTGTTTATTACACACCACCCAGCCCCCTCTTCACTCTCCAATTCCCACTTTATCATCTCTCTCTCTCTAGTACATCCCTCTCTCTCTCTCTTCCCATCTCTCTTTCTCTCTCTAAGATTTTGTACAGGATGGCGTCATTACAATCACTAGCTTTCTCTTCCCCAATATCTCATTGTTCTCACCAGCCTCGCTCTATTCCAGGTGTTCGATTATCTCCTTTTGCTCTCTCTCTCTCTCTCTAGAACCTGTAAAAAAAAAAAAAAAAAATTTAATTTCGGGTGAATTGTACGGTCTCTGATGAACTAGGGTTAGTAATTATGTAATCAGTTGGAAACTTGGAATTGGGAATTGGGAATTAGAAATGTTAATTGAGGAACGTGGGATTAAATAAAAGTTCTGTTGGCCCCAATCCCATGAATCTTTGTTTTTGCTACTTTATGGCTAGTCTAAAGCTTTAATCCTCTGAACTTAGTGTTTTCAGAATTTATTAATGTTGACAATGCCGATTTCCTTTACATAGTTTGATAAGATTTATGTTGTAATAGCTAACCATTGTGTCTTGGTTATGTTAGTAGGCTTGTCGATAGGGGCTTTCCACTCTAGCGCAAGCTCTTCGTTTAACGGCCAATCGTTACACCTACCACGCTCGAGTTCCCCCAAAATCAGCCAAACCAACAAGAACACATCCAGGCTCACTATTATGATGGTGAAACCCGCAATTCAGTTCATTCAAGGCATCGACGAACAGACAATCCCAGACGTAAAGCTAACGAAATCGAGAGACGGGAGTAACGGGATGGCCATATTCGCCTTCAACGAACCCTCCGTTTTCGACTCGTCGAGCGTGGTCGGTGACATCACAGGCTTCTACATGATCGATGAGGAAGGCGTGCTTCAGTCGGTCGATGTGAACGCAAAGTTCGTGAACGGTAAACCTGCTGGAGTCGAGGCTAAGTATATCATGCGGACCCCACGAGAGTGGGACCGGTTCATGAGATTTATGGAGCGGTACGCCAATGCCAATGGTTTGTCCTTCGTCAAGAAATGATCCTTTTTTTTCGCTCGTAATTTTTTTTTCCCGATTTTCTTGATGCAGTGTAAGTAGGGTGAAAATTCAAGTATTGATGACTTGAGAGATGATTTATTGTGGAAGGCAAATTTGTTTCGATATATATGAAGGGTCTTTTCGGCTTTCTTGATTTCGGAATACAAGATGATATTCAAATCGTAAATTCTCAAATTCCCAGATGGAATTAGAGCCAATAGTGTTAATTTTGCATCAATAGCAGGAAAAAGAAAAGAAAAGAAAAACAGATTTCGTCTAGTTTGTTGTTGATGACCATGTCACCGAAATAGGACTCTGAACCCTGTAAGAACCGTTTCTATCCACCCAAGCCAAACGCCCTTGTCCGAACCTCGTATTTTTAGTCCCGTTTCTTGTCTTAGACGTAAACCAAACTCTGTAACTCAAAGTCTGGTTCACGCGTTTGAACACCAAACTTCGTGGCCTAACTCTCATACCGACTCCCTCAGGCGCCTCCATTTCCACCGAGTAAACAGAATTAGCCTCCCCCACATTCGTCACTCGTCTCTTCATCATCTTCCTCGTTTGTCCTGTCTTAAAAACCACAGAAAACGAGGGATAATTAAGGCTGAAATCCTTATTCCTCTGCAAAATCTCACGGCAGCTCACATTCCTATGAGTTATACTAAATATGTCCGATCCACTGTACCCTAGCGTACAGAGATGAGTCACGTGTTCGTCCGGTAAGATATCGTATATCAATCCAGGATCAATAGCTCTCTCGGGATTCACATGCCCTGCTCCAACAGCAAACAGCCCAGCAGGTTTATACCCGTCCATTATCGGCCTTCCTAAACGATCGCTGACATCAGCGGTTGTCATGAGGGCGGACTTGACCGCCGCTGGGGTCCACTTCGGGTGGGCCGAGCGGATAAGGGCAGCGAGCCCGCTGACGTGGGGGCAGGCCATGGAAGTCCCTGACATGACGGTGAAGTTGACTCTTCTAGAATCTTCTGGAAGGCCGCTCGGTCCTAGATTCTGCGGCCAGGCGGCGATGATGTTGACACCGGGGGCGATCATGTCCGGTTTGAGAATCGAGGGGTCGGTGTAACTCGGCCCCCTCGATGAAAACTGAGCTACTGCAGGTGCTCTTGATTTTCCAATCACGGTTCCTCCAAATATGATTCTTGCTTTAGGGGCTTTTGTTGAGTTTATGTAGCGTTTGAGTTTATAAGATTCTTCGGAACCGAGTAATGTTGCTGGTAGAACATGAACATCGACCGAATCTTCCTCTAAATTTATCTCTGTGTTGGCTAATATCATTGCTGCACCGCCGGCTTCTTTGACTATTTGACCCTTTTCGGCCCGCCCGTTTACGCCCCGGTCACAAACGACCATTTTGCCCCTGACCTTGGATCTTGTAAGAGAACCTCTCAGGCAAAACTCACTTCCTTTATCACCACCTGAGAAGTAAACCAGCTCAAGCTCTTTCTCTGCAATTGAAACTCCGTTCTTTGGGTACATTGATTCTCCGTAGAGGAATTTCCCGTTATTCAATCGAACTATAGCCGGAAAATTCCTGTCGAGCGTGCTTGCACCGACGGTGGTGATCCAAGGAGCCTCATTGGCGACGGAGTTCTCGACCGGGCCATTATTACCCGCGGCGCAGACCACTGAGATACCGTGCTGCATCGCCCGGAAGCTTCCGATTGCGATGGTGTCCTCGTATAGTGGGACCGGGAATCCACCGAGCGAGAGCGAGAGTACATCTACTCCATCTCTTATAGACTCGTCCATCGCCGCCAGAATGTCGGAGCTGTAGCAGCCGCTGAACCAACAGACCTTGTAGACGGCAATGTGGGCCCCGGGGGCCATCCCTCGTGCCTCGCCGGCCCCCTTTCCGAGCACGTTGGCGGTTCGGACCGGAGATCCTCCTGCGATGGAGGCGGTGTGGCTGCCGTGGCCATGGGAGTCGCGGGGGGAGACGTACTCGGCCACCGCCTCCGGGGAATATTCCGGCGACGACACGCGGTGGCCCCTGCTGAAAAACCGGGCTCCGATGAGTTTTCGGTTGCAGTTTGTGGAGTCGAAACCTTCTCCGCTCTGGCATATCCCTCTCCATTTCTGGGGAACCGGAGGCATCCCGCGGTCGTCGAAGCTAGGATTCTCCGGCCAAATTCCGGTGTCGAGGACTCCGATAATGGAGCCTCGGCCGAACGAGGATTTGATCCAGGCACCGTTTTGTGCAGTGGGACTCAGTCCCAAGAATTTGTAGGAGTATGTAGTGTGAATTTCCACCCTTCTCTCAGGCCTCACCGCAATAACTTCCGGCGTGTTTTTCAAAATCTCGACTTCGGATTGAGAGAGTTGAGCAGCAAAGCCTTCGATGGCGGAGCTGTAGGAATATAGGAGGCGTGAGGAGGAATCCTCTTGGTTGGTGGAGATGGATTTGTCGAGGAAAGAGAGGTGCCATCGAAGACGGCCGGAGGTGCGGTGAGGAGAACGAGATAGCCCGTTCGGGTGGAGCTGAACAATGTAGGTCTGAAGATGCTGTGCATGGGAAAGAGTGTGAAGAAGAAGAAAGTAGAGGGTTGTTAGTATGGGGAAGAGGAGTCGACTTTCGGATGCCATTGTCGAGGAAGACGAAAATATGGGAAAATCGTGGTTTTGTTATCGTGCATGTTTTATTTTCTGGTTGGGGAAGAAATGGTGGGGTATTTGAAGGAGATTGACAAGTTGAAAAGCTCGTGAATTTTTGAGAGCGCTTCTTCCTCCTCCTCCTCACGAGTTTCCTTTGTGATGACTGATGAGAGAGAGAGAGAGAGAGTAGAGAGAGAGAGACTAGAGAGAGAGAGAAGAGCCCAATTGGGTTTTTAAGTTGAGAGAGAGGAGCTTTTAGTGCGTGTGTGGGGATTTTCACGAGAAGTTCTTGTCGAGTTTTAATACTATCTATCATCAGCAAAGTTAATTTTTTTTATTTTTTCAAATATTTTCACGACAAATATAAATGTGAAGGTTTATTATTATGATTGCTTAGAGAGTAGTAGTAGTAGTAGTACATAGGATAATTCAAAATTCTTGCATCCTAGTATAATGTTTGTCCATGGAGATTATGTTCATTTAAAGTTGCCCCTCTTCACAAGGAAATTCAGTGGGCCCTTTTACCAACAAAATACATTTACCCTGCGACACAAATTTTCTACTCGATCTCATCCTGCATTTTATTATTTGTCCATTTACCAAATATGCACTATTTATTTCATTATTATTATTATTATTATTGAGTTTTTATTTTTTCTTACTTAATGAACTTTGTAATTCATGTGTCAAATTTTTAAACGTAGAATAGAATTAAATGGGCTACTTTTTAAGTAATAAATAAATTAAAAATAGGCGAATTTATGATTCAACAATTTGATACATTTAATAGCACGCTCTGCTATTGCTGTAGCTGGCTCCTCCATAGCACATGGAGCTTGTGCTTCCTACACACACACACACACACACACACACACACACACACAATGACACAATCATACTACTATTTAAAGCTCTATTTAATTGAGATTCATATTTCACGACACAACAATTTAAGAAATTACTAGTTTCTAAATCAGAACATTACAGTAAAAGAAATCCATCCAAACCAACCGCTAAATATTCGTTGTAGATCTGAAACCACTCCACTAAAATCAATTCATTCATGTTGATTGTTGCATCAATTATTTGATTAGACAAAAATTATTGTCTGAAAGGTCAGCCATCCAATGTGTACTACTACTATGTGATTTAGAGGAGAGTGACGTGGCTTACTTGTTTATACTATGTAATAACTTACTTTGGTTATTTATAATAATAAAACCAAAATGTCAACTTGTTTGCCTTTCTTGTGCACACAACAAAATGTGAAGGGACAATACACAAGGCAGAAACAAAATTTTCTTTTTTTTACCATGATATGTTTTTATTTGATCTGCAACTAATAATGGTTAATATAAAGTCATCGTCCGAATCTACGCAATCCCAGACTTCAAGCTAGTAAAAAATCGACCTTGATTAGTAATATATCGATACCAAGCCTATCGAACGGGGACTAAGAACATGCAATCAACAAAGGTCAACATTCAACAATCTTTTTGTGAAAACCATCTTTATATATAGATCATCACTAAAAGAATGACATATTATATTAATAGAAAAAACAATTATGAAACTATATAAATAAATATGCAGGAAGTAGATTTTATGTATACCCCATGAGTTGGTTTCATTCAAACAAGACATGAGATTTTTTTTCATGAACCACAAAGCTTTATATATCATACATACCTCATCACCACCCAAAAACGCTTATAGCTAATTCATGATCTTCGGTCCGATTACTTATATAGGCTGAGCATTCCCAAAACCCGATGTAAGATATTCCATGATCGGTATCTTTAGCTGTTAGAAACCGATTTCCCGTCTTTTTTGGGTTTCGAGAAATACGGATCCCATTCGTGGGGGCCCGTCGCTTCAACTTCATCCAACAAAGCATATTTCCAACTAAGCTCCTCAATAAAATCATCATCTTTACGCCCCTTGATCACATCCTTCCTCAACTTCGTCACCTTATCGATAACCGCATCAACCGCCACATCAAACGCGTCTTTTAACGTCTCGAGCTTAGATCGAGGGTCCGCGTATATAAGCTGCGGGATCAAATTTATAACATTCTCCCTCATTTCCTTCACCCTCTCCTTAGAAATCCGACCGAGCCTCTCCTCTATGCTGATATTCCTACGAACATCATCCTCCGGAATAAACACGGAATATTCCGAATAATTCCTCGGCAGATGCCACGTGTACTGCGTGTAGGCGGACCCCGGATGGAAAAAGACTGGTATACAGCCCGCCAGCATGGAATCGAAAGCCGATCTTCTCGTGTACGAATCCCCCTGTGGCTGTAAGCAGAAAAGGGAGCTCTGAAACATCTGCATTATACTACTAGGAGAGTGGCACTTGCTCTCGCCAAGGTCACACTCCAACAACTTCCCCACCTTCGAATTCTTGCACTGTTCGATGATCTGTCCTCTGATCGATTTAAGGTTGTCCGGACGAGGCGCACCCGCAAAACAAAAAAGATTCTTCCGGTCAAGTTTCCTCATTCTTTCCTGCCAGATTATGACATCATCGTCTCTCGCGGGATGAAAATACGTAGGGTACGGAATCCCGTAATCATTCGCATTCCATGGACTCGATTCCACTACAAGCATAGACATGTTCTTGGCAGCGGGCAAGAACAAAAGCTTGTTACCCCAATCCGATTCTTGATCGGTCAATCTCCGAAAATCCCACGTGATTCGCCCCGCCACAAGGAAGTGGTCCTTCCCTCCCATAATACTCCACTCGGGCCTCTTCACTAGCCAATCAACCAATGCCAGCGAGGCAGAGTCCCTAGTTGAAATGTTGTGGCCCCACAGATACCTAGCAACATCGAACCCTGCGTAAAATGGCACGAAAATTGCTGCTGCGAGAGAGGAATCTTTTGTCAGGCACTCGTACTGTTTCATTCGATTGGCGAATATTACGTCGACTGCAAATTGATTGGTGGCGTACCAGCCGGTATTGGAGAAGACGCCATCGGTGTTATCCAAGGGGGGGCCGAGGCCACCGTTGGTGGTGAACTTGCACATGTTAGTCCATAGGCTGAGGGTCTTGCACTCCTTGAGCATATCGGAGTTGAACCTCGGAGGGAGATCGTGCACGTATATGTATCTACCTCCGCAAGGGTCGCTCTTGTTGTCTATCGTCCGTAACGCCCTCATGAAAGGATAAGTCTGCTTCGTGTGGTGAGTTGTTCTACCTTTGATCTTGGGTTTTACAGGTGGTGGGAGATTCTCATCGGTTGGCTGAACCGGATCTGGGGTTTCGTGTTTTGAACTGTTATCCACCATTGCTTCTCTCTCTAACCCAATTTCAATTTCAGGATTACTTGAATCTCCATTAAAAGAAGCTTGGAGTAACTGAGGAGAAGTATCAAGAGCAACACTACCACCACCAAGAACAGAAAAATGGAAGCAAAAAAGACCTAACCAAAATAAAGCTGATAATGAAGCTATTAAACACATCCGCGAAGGCTGATTTTTCCCCTTCCATTTATCCATTAATCCACCCGATTCTACAACTGAAGATTGACGGCGTCTCATCAAATTCTCAGAAACACACCAAAATTCACACTCAGGAAATACTCAAAACCCCACATTTAACAGAAATTAAATCTAAACACGAAAAAAATTCCGTTAATTAGGCATGCAGTAAAGTATTGCTTAAAACCCTAGAAAAACCACAAGCTGGAATTGGGATTCCGACCTTCAAAATTCAATCGCAGGTAAAATATTAAGGGAATAATACATACATACAGCTCTAACAAATCGCCGAAAAAGGAAACAAAACGCAGAAATTGTGGAACTGATCCCGCAAAAAATCACTATTTTAGATGTGGAAATTATTCATTCAGCAGCAAGCAGAAATCAACTGAATCAGGTCGATTTTTACGCGGATTTTCAGGAACTGGGAAAAGGAAAATTATAATTATATCGACGATTTCTTACTAAAATTATAATGTAATAAAAAAAAATCTAATATATAATAATAAATACGTAGAGATAGAGATGAATGATTTAATTTGCAGAGAGAATTGTACAGTTATATGTATCGTCCGCAGTACAGAGAAGGAAGTTAAAGAACAAGAGAAGGCGTAGTGTAGTAGAGACGGAGAAGGCCGCGTACTTTAGCAACATGCGCCGATTGGGGGTTAGATCCGGAAATTCACCTTCTGTCGGTTTGTTTGGCTGTCTCGCCGCTGGGAATCGTCGGTACACGTGGCAAACTCTTTTAGTAGTATAGAAGGAAGTATGGGGTTTTGTTATAATCTCCCGCGTATAATTGGCTGTAAAACAGTAGGGTCTAGTGTGTTACCATGCACCCTCAGCAGAGAATAAATACCCCAGTGAAAATTAATTAATTGTACAGTATTATGATATGATCTATCAGGATTCAGGAGGAGTGGGATTCCTGTCGGAGTATTAAATTAATTAATTAAATAATTAGATTAGCAAAAGTTAGATTAGGATGTGGGCATGTCTTGTTTCTTGAACTAATTAAAAAAAGATTAAAAGAGATTTTTTTATGTACTCTTCAGTGGAGCTACTTTAGTTAATTTGACACTAGGACAAATGGAAGATTTGATAAACCTAGTTTAGAACAAATAAACTAATACAATATTGCAGTTTGGTCCTGGGATTAAGTCAATGTCTAAATTAATTGTCATAAAATAAAATAAAATAAAATAAAGTCAATGTCTAGATTAATATAAAAGAAGGGTCAATATATATGTATGTCAAATTCTAAACAGTTGACACTTATAGTGGTAATAATGATTTGTTCAATGATTTAAATTTGGTGAAACAAAAAGTTAAGATGTGACAAAATTTATTGGATTGAAATGATTAAGTTGGTTTAGTAGTATCTCACAACCAAAGAAATAGTTTATTGTTTAAGTGAAACTATGCATACAGAATGAAAGTGTCACAACAAATATTCAAACAAAAAATTCCTAAATTTACTCATCTTAATCTTGTTTTTATAATCTCGTGATTCAGTTAGTTTTGAGTTGATGCATAGAAATAAAACTAAATAATACTTGTTGTATTTTTTTAATTAATTAATTAATTATGGACCAAATTGAGTGTGGTGATGATTCAAGGCCCAACATTTACACGTGTGATTTTTATTATGTGGGGACTTGTGAATTGGGCTTGTTTTTATATGCATGTATTAATTAATAATTAATCATCTGGGCTTCTAATTAGTAACATATTTTCTTATGGGTAAATTACAAACACCCCCCAATGTATGGTCAATTTACAAAAAAAACCCTCTTGTTTGAATAATTACATCTACCCCCTCAACTATGATTTTTTCTTAGACCTCCACCCTTATGGTGTCAAATTCAACATAATCATCTAGATTCTGTGAAATGTGCTCTAGTTTGTACTCATTTTGTGTGAAAATAATGTTTTTGATGCACCACAATCTGATATATACAAACTAAAAAACACATATTATGATCATCTTGCTGCAAAATGTAGAGTTCGAATGAGATAAATTAGGTACAAAAGTGATAATATTCCATATAATCTCGAAAATTCCACTAAATTTAATGAGTTGAGGGGGTGGTTGTAATTATCCAAACAAGAGGGGGGTTTTGTAATTTGACCATACTTTGGGGTGGTTGTAATTTACCCATTTTCTTATTGATTACACAAAAATGAAATGTATCTAAAAGATAATGGGACCATAATGCAAGTCCCGGAAAAGCTGACAGCATTCCATCATGATTAACCCCAAGTCACGTGATCCTGACTCAGGTTATTGTCCTATTTATTTTACATTTTTTATTTATTTATTTCATATTTTAGGATGAAGCATTTGGAACTAGAAACATTTTTATTTTTATTTTTTTGTTGTTTTAAAATGAATAAATATTAATCAAGCCGAATCTCCTAGCAACAATCAAAGATTATCTACCTGACTCCACTAATAAATATTGATTCACATCGTATATAATTTAATCATAATCAGACGATGAACCAAAGAAATAAAGCAGAAAGAAAACATATTTTTATTTTTGTTAGGGAAAAACCCAAATTAAATCACTACACAATTAAATAAGCAAGAATTGGGATAACCAGAACTAAAAGAATTACCAGCAGTACCCAAAAGGCAGCAGAATCCCTTTCCATCTTCTTATTTACAATTCTAAAACCTCTGTCCATTTTCAAATCCTCCAAATATAAACTAACTCCAGGATCTCCCATACTCACCTCACTCCCAATCAACACACAGTTACTTATACCTTGTACATCATTGTTTACATATATATTTATGCTGCAACTCTCACCGGAGCCGCCGCCGCCGCCACCATCCACCACCATAGAAGCACCGACACTCCTACCGGCCAACCTGACATTCTCGAGTGACCCACGGCTGATTCGGGGAGGAGACGGAAGGGGATGGTTCATCAATTTAGGAGAAGAAAATCGATTTTCTTGTTTTGGTTTGGACAAGTTTCTCATGGTTTTTTTCCTTGGGGAGAGATATATATAATATATTTGCTCTATATACATATATATATTGAATGAGATGCAAAACTGTTCATTAGAGTTACAAGGCAAGTAAATATTCCCAATGGAATAACTTAATCACCACTCCATTAAAAACCTTTAACACCACTAGGCCAGCTAACAAGTTATTTAAGAATAAATTAACTAAACCCCAAAGTAAAAGAGACACAATTTGAGCACAATTCCATGTGAATATGATTAAAAAAAAACAGAGATATAACAGAAAAATCGAGTCGACGAAGGGAAATAAACACTGTTCTCTTCACTTATGTTACATGAAAGGATTTAAGGCTTACAGCCTAAGCAAATGTGGTGCATCATTTTTGGAAAGAGACTATTTTTAGGCAATATATATATATATGAATCGTGTTCTTCCTCCGTACCTTTCTTCCAAAGGGTCTCGATGACTCATCCTTGTTTTGAAGGTTGAACTGATTTGTTTATTCAACCGTTACACCAATTAGCAAAATGTAAATATGCAATAACTACTACAATTCTCCATCAAGTCACTCGATAAGGTGTGAATTTCACATGGTGCTGCAGAAATTCAGACAAAAAACAAACCCTACCTCAAAAGAAAGAAACTGACGAGGATCAAGACCACTTGGGGGAAATTTTCTCACTGACTGTTGAACCGTAGTTTGGACCCCCTTTACGGTATTGTATAAGAAATTCAACTGGATATCCCTTCAGCTTACGTGGCGCGATCCCGAGATCCTCAAATGTTAAAGCTGGAAAAAGGATTTAAACATATAAGAAAGCTGAAATCACTGAGAATGTGACTTCTCGAATAGGCGAAATCGATGAAGAGTTCTTATATCCTTAAAAATATGATACACACCATTTTCAGATACCACTGTATCAGTGGAAAGGGATTCAATCAGGTCCAAATTGAATATGGTAGGGACAGGCAATGGAAAGGGAACCTTCTTGAGCAATAGCTCTCGAGGTGTTGAAATAGCCTGAAATGAAACATGAAAAAAAAGAAAAATAAGAAGCAATAATGAGATTAATCAAAAGACATATAAGAAGAGTACCTGGAAGGATGTCAAAATGGCTTTATGCATACCATAAGAAATGATATTAAATTCTAAAACTGAAAGCAACTTCGTTTAACAATAAAGATAAATTAGCTAAACCCTCATTCCACAATCTAGAGTGCATATGCTGCCAAGTTAGACAACCGATAGTGAAAATAAATGCTAAATGAAAACCCAAATTATCGCGGAAAGCAATGAAATGCACAGATACACATGTCACAGGAGAAACCTCAGTTCACCAGATTCTGAATCGAATTTTAGGATGCCAATAAATTTGCTATAATAGGAGTATATTGGAAAGAACTATGGGCAAAATGTTCTATTATTTTTTCTCTTGGCAACTGTTGAGGTTCACATCTCCCAACATAGATAAAAAGCAGTTGTAAAAGTTCAATGTTTGATAGATCTCCAAATTATTGTCTTATAGAGCCTAAAAACAACAATGAGCAATCAGCAACTTCTTTATCAATCAGTGCTCTTCGTTCTTTGTTTCTTGTTTGGGTTGGATTGGGGGGGTTGGGGGCGTGAGTTGATTACAGTTAGCCATCTCCAAATAAAGTTTAGGTTGAAACTGCATAAAATCTGCAAATACGGTAATAAGGAAGCATGGAGGAGAACTTGCCTTAGCAATAGGGAAAGGAATCTTCACGTAGTGAGGATATTCACGAATCGTTTCAAACATGAGTTCTGCCTATAGGACAGAGAAAAATCCATTCTTATCACTTCAGGAAAAAACAGCATATAATATTTTGAGGCGAAAGAAAGTAGTTCAAGGATACCAATTGGTGCATTGTGTAAATATCGGGTCCACCAAGTTCATAAACTTTTCCCATGCTTGATCCATCATCTTTTAAGGCCGCAATAATTGCCGATGCAACATCAACGACGTATACTGGCTGAATCCTGAAGAGGTGTGATAGTAACATATGATATCATCAATAATTAATTGAAAAACCATGAACAATATCTATATAGTATGAAAGCGTACTTGGTTGATCCATCCCCCATAAGTGGGATAAAGCTGTACTTTTTTGCAAAATGTGCCCATGGGTTTAAAATTCGATCCTCTGTACCAATCATCACAGCAGGTCTCACAACTGTGGCCTTAATAAGATAGGCAGATTAGTCAGTAAAATTAAGAAACAACATCTGCCACAAGGATTTATTGTGTGCACTACCCTAAAGAATCCAACCATTTAGCAAATAAAATACTGAAAAGCTAGATTCTAACTGTATTAAACAGATTATGGTTTGGTTTTGAAGAACTGAGGAAGAATAAACTTTGATCAAAAAACATTTATCTCAAGTTAAAGGACATCAAATCAGAAAGTAGCTGTTTCTCAGAAAAATAAATAAACAAGGTTACCATATTCAAGATACTACTCTCAAGCAGATACAGCAAATGAAAACCAATAAAACCAGAAAAAGCAACTGGAGACAAGGGATCAATAATTTTGAAAATCACAAATAGATATCATGCACCACCAGAGCACTGACAATAAAGACAACTAAGGAAAGCAATTAGAACTCCATGTGAAGCAAGGAAAACAGAGAGTTCATGCATATTTTACCTCGGGCAATTCTCGCAAGATAGCTTCTTCAGCAGCTGCTTTAGTTCTAAGCAGCTTGGAGGGAGATGATGGAGATGCTCCCAAGCAAGAAACTTGAATGTATCTCATGATGCCACCATGTTCTTTTGCAATCTGCATACGTAGAACACATCTATCACCACATCAAATCAGCTCTAATACAAGAGATACACACAAACTTAGCCGATAGAACACAACAAATGGACCATAGAATCAACACCCCTCCATAGCACCAACACCAAGAATCTAAAAGACGAGGGTTACAAGAAATTACTAAAATCACGGGTTCCAGGATCAAGAGTAACCAAGAGAGCAACAACTTCTGGATATTATATAATCTGCGTACGTTGACTAAAGCCCACACACTGAATCCAACCGAACCAAACAGCAGGAACCTACTAGACCTCCTTCTACTTGCCCTCATTGTTCTCCTACCATCCCTTCTCTACTATTAGTTACAACACTAAACTTCTAAGGTTTTCACTACCTCTAACCTACTTAATATTAGCAACCAATACGGTATTGATACATTTCCTTTTGGATTTTTAAAATTCTTGATAAACGCTAACTATCTTTGAACAAAGAGAACGACATGAATAGAAAGTGAGAAGCAAGAGACATTTCAAGAACGTGATAGAGAAAAGAAGAAAAAGAATGCCAACCTACCTAGGAGTAATCCATATCAATTGCAACATCACTCGGAACAATATACAAACTCATAATAGGCAACAATAAACCATCGCGTTCAGTAAGCGCAACATCATTGGTACACAAAGACTTATCAAGATTGGACAGTATTGAGAATCATCTAGAGTCGGCATATTTGCAAAAAAATGGAAATAATATCGAATGTGAAATAAGTAAAATGAGAACGTTCAACAACTTCAGATCATAAATGGCCTATGTGACATAGTTCCAAAAATATTTTATTTGACCTGGGATTTAGAAGGGAAGTTCAATTATAATGATTATTGAATTGCTAATATAATATAAGCTGAGAAGTCATTCATTCCTCCCAATAGAGTACTAGGTATGTATCACCACTTTTTACTATGGTGAACGTAGATTCAGGTTATGAAATAAAAAATAATCTGAGGAAAAGAAGAAAAGTGTAGAACAGAAACATACGACAGCAAGCTGTTCAGCCATGTGATGGTTCACTTCCTCAAAACTGTAATTTCTGGTCTCGTAGTCCCTTCCTGTTCACAAGACACGTTCTAGGATTTTAAACAAAAGCAATTAATACAAAAACTTACAAATAGCTACATGATCATAGCATCTTACCGATAAGATTAATAACAACATTAGCCTTTGCCATCACTGCCTTAATCGAATCTTCATCTCTAGGATCATATTTCATGGGAACAATCTGCATGTTAACAATGTTAAATAAAACCCAAATCATAGGTTTGTGGTACCATTTACTTATAAACCAGTTAATGGAAGTCCATGCAGGAATTCACCTGACCCAAATCACCCATCAATTTAAGGTGACGATGAGAATCCTCAGAGCCTCGGAAAGGAACAAGTACTTGAGAACCCATCTTAGCTGCATGCAAGAATAAGTGAAATACAAGGTTAAAGGCATCAATCAAATTCTATGGTAAAATGCAGCACTTTTTATCCAGTGCAAAAATTTCAGCTAGAAAGCATTATGTAAGATTAGATAACACACCGAGTTGCTGCACTAGATATCGTCCCAGAAATCCTGTAGCCCCAAATACTGTCGCGATAATGCCACTGTCAGACACCATATTTGTCAGTATTAACTCAATTTAACACATCCAACAAATGATAAGTGCCGACAAATGTTCAGAAATCATTGAACAATGGAAAAAATCATGTTAATGTAAAATTCTCTTAAGCTAAAAAAAATCCAGCTCTAGTAAGGTTAGAATGTTAAATGCGCAACCAATTAATGAAATGTTCAATTCTAATCCTCTAAAATCGTAAACATGAAAACGCAATGAAATGTTCGGAAGAGGCAAAAGTAGGGTTTCCAAAATGAAATTCACCTAACAGATGATCTGCCACCAGTGCCCTTACGCACTAAATGCCCCACGCCTTTGGTGGCAAGAGTAGAAGCCCATCTCGGATTATCCGCTCCATAATCTGAAAAAAGTTTGAATCAAAATCAACACAATTATCGAATAAAACATTCAGCAGAAAACATCTCATCAATCGATAAATGTGCGTAATTAGCCCTAGAAATGTGCAGAAATAAATTACATTGATCGGGTAGCGAGTAAGCCGATTTGAAAGAAGAAATCGGAGCGGCCGAATGCCTGATGTATTGGTAACCCAATCGCCTGCCGACGCTCTGCATCTTTGCTTTCTCAGCTGAGTCCGATGAATGCGTCTGTGTGTGTGTGAGAGAGAAGGGGTAGACACTGTTCGGAATACAAATATTAGAATGCGAGAGCGCGTGCTCCACAATCGCTGCGGCATTTAGAACAAAAAACGCTAAATGCAATATGCCTCAGTAAAATCGCTAAACGTTTGGTAGCGTTTTCATTTTTTTCCCCACACTTGCACCATAATTAAATTATATGTTTATTATTTATTTATTTTTAAACTTTCTCAAAATTATAGTTAAAATTTCTCTCTTCTTTAAACATTATTTGAATTACTATAATGTTTTTTCATACAAAATAATTTATTAAAAAAATTAAAATTAAATTAAATAATTAAATTAAATATATATATATAGTATTCTGGTGTGTTAGTTAAATTGTGTTCGAGTGTTCTATGTAAGAGAAATATTGAAGAAAAGATTCAATGTAGCTTCAGTACATAATCAAGATTCAAGAATATAAACATTATAAATTATTTTTCCCTTTTCTTAAGCTCTACAACATGTTGTTTCCTCCCTCCAACAAAGACCTATTTTATTGCACATAAGTACAAAATTGTTCCCTCTCCGAGAATAGATCAAAAATCTCCGTTCGAACGGGTTGAGTATTCCGATACCAGCTTAAGAAACATGGAAGAATTGTCCTCTAATAGTCTTCCGGGAGTATCAAACTCCGCCACTCGACCTGCAGAACGCACAAACAAAGATCCAAAAAATATCAACCACTGTTTTTTGCATGTTTATAAGAAACGGCAAATGAGAAGAAAAAAAAAGAGAAATTTTATGTAGCGCACCATCACTGAGGACCAAAACGAGATCACTATCAATAACGGTAGGGATTCGATGAGCAATAGTACAGACAGTGCAATCCTTAAATTCTGTTCTTATTATCTTTTGAATAAGGTTATCTGTGGCTGAGTCAACCGAAGCCGTAGCTTCATCAAGAACCAATATTCTTGCCTGCTTAAGCAAAGCCCGTCCCAGAGACACTAGCTGCCGCTGGCCCACACTCCAATTATCTCCGTTTTCTATAACTGCCAAACATAATTTTTGAAAAAAAAAAAAGATCATTTGTTAGAATTCAGTGGTTCAACAAAATCTTGATTTTGCATAACCACTCTAAAATAGTAATTTTAATTTACCTGGTGTATCAAGCTTAAGCTCTTTTTCGCGAACTATTTCCCCCAGCTGCGACTTATCGAGTGCCTGCAGCGATTTAATTAATTACGATATAAATATTATAAAATTTGTAATGATGAATTTAAACAAAACAAACATATGCAAAGACAGTGTTAAGGGTCGTGTTGATTGTCGAGATAAGATTATGCAATTTCACGAGCCCGATTGTACAATTGGATTAAAAGGGTCCAATACACGATTCCCGGAAAAAATAGTTACACAAGTCTTGATTATTTAATCAAATCATATGTGTACCTGCCAAATTTCTTGATCTGAATGCTCTCCGAGTGGATCCAAGTTGCCTCTAATAGTTCCTTCGAATAATGTCGGATCCTGTGGTATGATACTCAGCCTATTTCTAAGGTCATGAAGACCAATCGTCGAAATATCAATATTGTCGATAATTATTCTGCCAGCTGTCGGCTCAATCAATCGAAACAGAGCCTGGATCATCGTGGATTTACCACTCCCAGTTCGCCCAACAATTCCGATTTTCTTACCGCCCGGGAATACACACGAGACGCCGTGGAGCACAACAGGAAGACTCTCCTTGTATCGAACCTAGAGAGAGAAAACACACAATTAAAGACAAGTTTTTGGAAATCGATTAAATGAATAAATAAAATATCGAAAAAAAGTGCACACCTTTAAATCGATTAGTTCGATTGTGCCTTCTTCTGGCCATGAGGGTCGGGGTCGCGAATTGTCGATAAGTATCGGTGCTTCACTAGGTATATGGCAGTATTGATGTATTCTTTCTATAGAGATGATTTTGTTTTCGAGCTTGCAAAAGCTAAGTATCCATCGAGATAGCCGTGCGTTCATATTTAGACCGTATGTCACAGCTAGGCCTGCCATACCTAAAAAACGAAAGACGTCAACGTCACAAAGTCAATATAAAAAGGGATACTTTCTATTTACAATAATATTTTTTTTTAACATCAACTCGAAGCCTGAAAAAGATCGACATGCATGAATTATTGCCATTAAAAGAAAAATTAAAGGTGATTTTTACGTACTTGGATCTATTTTTCCACCGGGAAGGCTGACGAGTAAGACCATGCAAAAAGCAAACACAAAAGTCGAGAGCAATTCCATGCGCAGACAAAGCCATTCAATGGCTGCAATGCTGCAAAAGAATGGACGAGTGAAGGAATCAAGAAGATGAAGATTCCTCTTCATGAATCTCTTTTCTTGCCCAAAACCTCTAATAGTAGGTGCTCCAGCAATCGATTCGGCAAAAAGATTAATTATCGGGGATTTCTGTATGCTAACAATTCGAACTAGCTCTCTCGATGAAGCCATATAATATTTCTGCATTTGCGGAAAGCCAAAAAAAAAAACGAAATCCAATTTTATACAAGAAGAAATTATCAAATACTAAAATGACATTGGAATAATAAACCTACCTGCATCCATAAGCAAACAATCGCCATCGGAATAATAAGCAGCAAAATTTGCCAGGTCACCTGTGTCATAACTCCAACAATACCGAGAAGTTGGATTGTCGTCGAAGCGAAGCCACCGAGCCTGAACGGAATATCGAGATCAACAACACTTTGATCAATGGACACCTATAGTAATCACAATAAACAATTATACACATGAATACTAAAACAGAAAAAAAATATATATGAAAAAAAATATATGTAGTGATGTCAGCATACACGATTCAGTATTCGTCCAGCTGGCGTAGAGTCGAAGAAAGACATCGGTGCGCGAAAAATCGTTCTGATCATTTTCAGAAATAATTTCTGAGCAGCGGCAAGACCAAATGTAGCGACAAGAACAGCTCTGATGAATACGAAAACGGAGCTCCCAAAAGCAAGTGCCATATAAACGAGAATAAGCACCATACTGCTTGTTTTCGGTTTGTCCCCAACGGTTTGAGGGTTCGCCCAAGCCATCCACCAACTACTAGCTATTTGAAGTACTTGAAATAATGTTTGTGCGATAATGATCAACGGAATCAACAAGCCCTTGTAAGCAGCTGTCATATACGATAGATACACTTTCATGCTGACTCTTCCTCTCTCTCGTTCCTCTTCCTGCACTAGCTGCTTTTTCCTCAAGCGTTTAGCTTTCTTTTTTTCTTTGATTGCTTTTAGATCAGAAGGCGATACGCCTTCTTGAACTTTCTTTTTCGCCATGTCAGCATTGGTTTTACCGATTGAATCAATTTTTTTAGTCATGAGAGTAAGCATATTCAGAGGATCAATATTATCTGATTCTTGAGAAGGTAGATTGCAGAACTCCATAGCTTCGATGGCTTCGTTATGAGCAGAGACCAATGTGCTAAAGTCTGTTCCTGCTTGCAAAAGTTCGTCGTATTTTCCAGCTTGAATAATACGACCTTCCTTCAGAACCTACAAGGTACAAGTACATGTGGAAAATAATTACGTGATTGGAATGTACAACAATAATTGAGCAGAAGTGCAATCAAAATATGTGCATAAATGAATGCCGAATTTCTGTTTCCCATGCAGTTATGATTTCAAGCAGACGAGGAAAAATATAAACATTGAGCATGAAATTATCAAAAGCCAATGAAGACGGTACCAAAATCAAGTCAGCAGCTGGCAAAAATTCGACTTGATGAGTGACAAAAACCACAGTCTTTGTACCCAGCGCTGTCATTATATACTCCTGCAATTTCCACATAAATATTCTTAGCGATTTCAGTTTTCTTAATCCGAAAACAAATGAATAATAATTAAATCATGTTCAAACCTTAAACAATTCAGAGCCCGTGTGTGCATCAACAGCACTAAAGGGGTCGTCAAGTAAATAAACATCAGCATCTTGATATAGCGCCCTCGCAAGTTGCACTCGTTGCTTCTGACCGCCACTCAGGTTTATGCCTCTATCGCCAATGATGGTTTGATCGCCGTGCGAAAATAGCTCCAAGTCTTTTTTCAGCGAACACGCATGAATAACACTCTTGTATTTTGCCTTGTCCATTGGACTTCCAAATAGGATATTTTCCTCTATATTTCCCGATTGAATCCAAGCCGACTGAGAGACATACGCTGCAGAACCACATATTCTAACCTAAAGTATACACAGCCACAGATAAGTCAATAAGGCTCGACAGCCAAATTTAGTACTCAAACGAAAAAGGTGACAAAGAATGAAAGTTATAGCATCCACAGAACCAAACTTACTTCACCCGAAATTTTTGGAATCTCACCGAGGATGCAAGAAAGGAAGCTCGATTTGCCAGAGCCCACCACACCACATACAGCCACACGCATTCCCTTCTCTACCTTAACTTCTACGCTCGAAAGGGTCGGTGTAAAGGATGTTTGATCCCAACAGAACTCTCCATTTTTTATCTCAATGGCCACATCGGAAATGCCATGTGGCAATGAGATCGTCGCATCTTCTTGCAGCTCTTCCTCCTGTAAAAATTCCGCAATTCGATCGAGAGAGACTTTTGTCTGAGCCATCATCGAAACCAAGTCGGGAAAATTTCTAAGCGGTTCTTGCAGGATGCGGAAAGTAGCCAGAGCGGAAAGAACACTGCCAGCTGTAAGCTGACCGCCTAATAAGATACAAGTTCCGAATGTAATAGCCGAAACAAATATCGGCGAACTCCAGAATATAAACGTGATGAAAGCCTGCGAGTAGAGAGCTTTTCGAAGGTACTTAAATTCCACACTACGCATTTCTTCGAGCTTCACTCGATATCTATCCTCCCACGCTTGCAATTTGAGAATCCTCATATTTCTAAGGCATTCAGAAGTCTTCCTCATTCGATCATCCTTTGCCGCCATCAACTTATCTTGGTAACTTTCTTGAATCTTTGCCACCGGCACAGTTGCAACAATGGATATAACGGTGGCGATAAGTGTGGCGACAGATGCAATTCCGACATTCTTGTACAGAATAGCGAGCGCTAAGATAATTTGGAAAGGAAGCATCCAAATGTCGTGTAGGTACCAAGAATAGTCCCCTACTCTCTGCACATCCACAGCCATGTAGTTAACAATCTCGCCGCTGGAGTGATTTTGCCTAGCTGTGCTAGAAATTCTTAGCCCCTTTCGGAATACCATTGCTGTGAGAGCCGATCGAACGTGCATACCCAAAATGTCTACACCAAGATACCACTGTCTGGTTGTTAAAGTCTCTACCAGTTTAGCACTGAAGAAAATTCCGGCAAGAACATAGCCCTCGTGTGGGTAAGTCTGCTTCCCTCCGAGATAATCGACAAAATAGCTAATCAAGTATGGTCCCACGTACGAAACTAAAGTGTTCAACCCGGCGAATACTGCATTTCGAGCGGCTTCTTTCCAAAAGGACTTGAGAATAGCCCAAGCTAGAGAAGGTTGTTTTTGAGGATTCTCAGCCTTCATCTTCTCCCAATTTGAGTTCAGTACTTTATAGTTAGTCTTGGAACGATCTTTTGGCGCGAGCAATGGGATATCTTTCAGATCGAGTGGCCGCTTTGCCCCGGTTGAAAGAAGTGGGTTCAACCAGGAAAGAGTGGCCAAACTGAAAAGGCTAGCCTCATTGTAAGGAGTAACCTTAAGACACCCTGCTTCTTCTTCTAGCAGCAATGGCTCTTGAAGATCAGAGTTTCGACAAATCTGTATACCAGTAACACCCCTAGCAGCAACAAAACATAGAAAACCAAGAGGCGGGGTAACGAAAAAATTCGCCAAAACATGAGAACTCAAATGCCCTGATCCTTTTGACAAAAATCCTCTACCATCAGCATACAAAGTAGACAGACAAATTACGAACGAAGCAGCCCACCAAATTCTCAACAACAAAGGAAATTTCTCAGCAGCTCTGTGTTTGCAAGAAAGAACTGAAAAGCTCAGCACAAACCAAGCTAAAGACTGGGCTGCAGGCAATAGTATAACGGCCCAATCGGAATTTTTAACCTCCCGTAAAATTAGACCGACACCATCAAACCCCAACACCAAAATTTGGATGAACAAAACATAAAAGCAACAGAAAACCGAAGCTTTGTAATCTTTACCGATCACAATGTTACGAATTGCCTCACCATCCCTATGCCTAATAGCTGCCGAGCTTCGGGTCAATTCATCCTTGAGAGAATGAATCCGACCGAAACATAATACAACCTGTCTTGCAGATACAATGAAGATAAACACAAGAAACAGAGTCAAGTTGATGCAAACCGACGCTAATTCTATTACGGGCAGTGTCCGAAAGGTGCCCGGGAGATGGTTTGAGGCTCCAAACGCTGTCGTTTCAGTAGCCGAGAAAAGATTGATACCCATAATATTTATTACGGATACCAATCTTTAAACCAGGAAAATGACGGAAATCAATGACTGTGAGCTGAAGAACAATCCCCACGCTATTAATGAAGCTAGATAATATTACTACAACGGGTGATAAATCAAACAGTGTAAAGGACATTTTTCACCATCTGGCAACAGAAATTGTGCCCAACGCGCAACCTAACGACCTAAGAGAAAGGAGAAAAAAAATCAGCACATGAAAAAAGAAATCATTTTGAATCATAAAAACCCTACAGAATATGCAAACGGAGAATCATAAATTTGAATCTGAAACCAACCCAGTATAGAAAACACCAGAAACTAACCTGGGCTTGTGCTGCTTTACTGTAAAATGCGCTTTTTTCGGGCCTGTCGTGATCGCCGAGGCAGAATTCTGCAGTATAAATATGAAGGGTTTTTTTTTAAAGAGGAGAGAGAAATTGTACACTACAGCAACTGCTACTTTTAGAGAGAGAGAGAGAGAATTGCACCACCAACCCCGCAGGTATTTGTTCTACTGGCTGGTGTAGTATGATTTTTGGAGTGGAGATGATGCTTTGATGACTGTATGTGAGTGACAAAAGCTTATTAATTAATTATATTAATTATTAATTAGCGCATTTAAATATGGGGATTAGTTAATAGTCGATGAAATGTAATTTTCATTATCAATTAAGAATATTTTACTTTAGTTTTCAATTTAATTTTAAGGATACAATTAATTACAAGACGGTCTAATTAAATTAAAGCGGCTCGGCTCGGCTCGGCTTCTTCATGCACAGCTGCTACATTTTGTACTGTTGTGCGGTTGCAGTGGAGCCGTGCTAGAGTAGCTCATCTTTGAGATTGAGGAAGGGAATTTTTTAGCCCGCATGGGTGTAGCTCAACTGGTTCCGGAGGTGGTAAGTTGGTGCAAGGTCCTAGGATCGAATCCTGGCAGCTGCGGGCGAGGGATTTCGCCTTTTGGTGCAAGGAAGGGAATTTTAATTTTAATTCAATTATATATAATTAAACAAAATAATGATTTGTGTGAATTAAACTCGAGTCGAATGCAGTTGACACAGGTTCACTTACTCCAACCATTATGGTCGTTTCCTTACGACGGGACCACGTTTGTTCAAATTTCAACACGCTTGCAATGCTTCGAAATTAGTAAATTAAGACATAAAAAAATCGGGATTGATGACAAAATGACAACCAACGACGACTCGAATTGATTTTTACCGGAATTGGGATTCGAAGCACTAATAAGTAATAACTAATTGGTGCATTGTGAAATAAGTAATAACTAATCGGAGTAATTGGAATATTAGGTCATCTAATTTTTCTTAATGGAAAATGTCATTTAACTTTATTCGATCACCTTTTTTATTGTGTGTCAAATATGGTGTAATTCGATTCTGATAATTGTTAAATAGGGATGTTATGCGAAAATCAGAATTTTAATCATTTTAATGCAAGTGTAAATCATGTTAATTACGTAACCCCCTTGAACTCAAACTAAATTACGAAAAAACACTCATTTGTAATTATCAAAATTTCCCCGAAGTTTATTTTTGTCTTACATGGAAAATATTACTTGGATTAAAAAAAAAATTATATTCAATGTGGGTAATTTTATATTCAAAAGGCAACAGAAAGAAATGTCACGTTTGTAGGGGCAGAATAACAGCTTAAGGGGTTCGCCGGTTCGGCGTAAGATGAAAACAAACATCGGGAAGTTTTTAGTGATTACAAATAGATAGGGGTATTTTTCACAATTTAGCTTAACTTCAGGGGTATTTTCGTAATTTACCCAATAATTATCCAAATAACGTGCATTGTTTTTGGCTTTTTTTAACTTTTGTCCTCTTTTAAGTTGGAGTTTGGTCGTCATCATCATCACACGTGGTTTCCACTTGAAGACACGTGTCCTAGTGTATGGACTTTTGAAAAGCTAAATCCAAGTGGGCCCCCATCTTTTTCCCACAACTAAAGTGGGCCCCAGCCCAGCCCATATTAGTCATAACACATTTCCACTTGGATCATATAAATGTCAGCCCACTTTTAAAAATTTCGGTATTATCATAAATAAAAAAACTAAAAATCAACTTTAATTACTTAATTTAGAAATTTAACTGTTTTGTATGGTACAAATACCCAATGCAATTTTTTTTTTTTATTAATCATCAAATACTTATAAATCAAAAAAGTTGATGCAGCAACTTAAAAATTAAAATATAGCTTATTTTAATTAAATAGAATGAAGAGTTTAATTCCTTACTAGTAAAGCAGAAGCATTTTCTTGCAAAGTTTCCCAAGCTGAAACCACATGCCTCTCTTCAGTCAGTGGGGCCCCCACCGCCAATCGTAATACGTATTTTTCCGAAAGAACCTAAAAAAAATAATAAATAAATACATTTTAAAATTAATATATCAAGGCCATGCATATTATTTGTAATCTGAAGCAATTTATTTTTTATTTTAATTTTTAATCTGAGCATATACTGTGTGAGAGATGAAGAGTTTTCCAGTCGAATTCACTGCATCGAGTAATTCGCGGTTCAATCTGTTAGAACATTCTAGATCCTTTTGCGTAGACAAAAGGCGAAAGCAAACTAGGGAGAAATTCCGAGGGGCAACAACCTGCATGCAATTTGCATGGTGTTAATCAATATATATACATACATTTTTTAATGAGTATATTTCAAGACTTGTTATTTACCTCGAATCTCGGGTCTAGCTTAACGAGTTGTTCGAACTTGTTAGCCAATTCAATATGGCTTCTTATGTAAGTCCGCAAGTTTTCCAACCCGTAAAGTCGAAACACCATCCACAGTTTCAGAGATCTGCAAAAGAAAACGACGAGTGGTTGAAAAGATAAATTTTATCGACCCTCATTTTAGTTTATTTTTATACATTGTGTGGATATATAATATATAATTCCTAATCAAGAATATTGTGACATACCTGAATCTGCGTCCTAACGGGATTTGCCAATCTTTATAATCCACGACCGTGTTTCCTTGAGAAGCCTGAAATCAAATTATTAATTATTAAACATGTTATACAAGATATTTTTTTTTTAATTAATACACTCAGTAAAAAAAAACATCGAGGATAAATTAACGAGTATACTGAAATCGTTGAATAAAAAAAACTTTACTTTGTTTTTAAGGTACTCGGGATTCGTCGATAATGATTGGACCAGTGCACTTCTCTCCTGTTTCAAACAATGCCTTTTTGTTTGTTTGTTATACTTATAACAGAGTCAAATGTGAATCCCTTATTACAAAATCGACCGTGTACCTTCACCCAAAGAGCCGAGCAGTCAAAGTTGGTCAAGAACCACTTGTGTGCATTCATGTTAAAAGAGTTGGCTAATTCTACACCATCAATAAAGTGACGAAATTCCGGACAAATACAAGCACTTCCAGCATAAGCAGCATCCACATGAAACCATAATCCATTACTCTATATCGAGAACCACAAATAAGATAAAACTCGTTATTGTTAATACATTTAGTGGAAAACACACACACACACACACACACACACACACACATATATATATATATATATATATATATATATATATATATATATATATATATATATATATATATATATATATATATATATATATATATATGTATGTGTGTGTGTGTGTGTGTGTGTGTGTGTGTGTGTGTGC